CACTCAGAAATACCATCTGACCCAGCCGAGGCTCGAACCAGCAATCTTCTTGCTGTAAAGCGAGAGCGCTACCCACTGTGCCACTATGCCGCCATACTCACAATAATAATAAACACAAAATACCAGTATACCAGTAATATATATAAACCAGTAGCGGTTGCTGCTTTTTCACCTAACTATTCTTTGAACAGATTGTTAACAGGCCTAACATTAACCATGTGCGCGTGATCATCCTTTCATTATCACACGCGGTATGTTTTTTTTTTACCAGCTTTCTTTTGCTTACAGTTAATTTTGTCAATATTGTTTAATTATCTTTTTTTACAACAACATTGCTTTAATATGAGATTAACTTCCTATTTTTGTGCATAGTAACTGGTGATCTGGGACCTATTATATAATAATAATAATAATAATAATAATAATAATAATAAATATTATACATTTGTTATTATTATTATTATTTATTTTAATAGTGCCTTTAAAAATTTAATTCTCAAAGCACTTTACACTCAAAACATACAAGGATAGCAGAAAAAAGTTATGCAGAAGATATAAAAAAATAAACTTTGGAACATTGTAAATATATCTATAAAAACATAGATATAAAACAGAAGAAAAAGCCCAGATTGTGTCATACAGAAGAAAGAAACTCAAACCATCTAGGAACTCAAACTGGAACACCTGAAGAGAGATTATTAGTACTGTAGGCTAAATTATGACAGAAATGTCATTTCTGGGTGAACTACCCCTTTAAATACCATCCTAGCATAAATTTAGCATCTGAAAGGGAATCTCCAACAATTAATTCCTTTTCTTTTTGCCGCATGTCTGTTGTAAATCCTGACAATAGGTTTTTAACACCAAAAAAGGGTTTGCACTGGCACAAGCTGTTAATAAATCTGGCCCAGGGACTAATAGTCACACATCTTAAATTATGATTTGTGGAGTGCAATCTGTTCCTTTATGTTACGCACCATCATCCAGTGCTGTCGGCCTCTGCGTTTAGATTTGTTCAGTGTAATAAGATTTTGGAGGTGTTACCTGTCCTCATCTGGCTCTGCACTTGTCAGCATCGTAGCAGTTCTTTCCAAATCGGAAAGCCCACGTGGGTTCCCCTCCAATGGATCCCTGGCATTCTCTCACTACTCCTCTTCCTCTCTCATCCACTTCTCTTTATGCAACCTTAAGCTCTGACTCAGTTGCTCAGCTTTTTCTTTCCTTTCTTTGCACAGCTATTTGCCATCTGCTGCCTAAAGCGGTGCTCTTGTCCTTTTTTTGTTTTATCACCCTGCTAATCATCCATTAGGTCTCTTTAAACACACCGACCAGCCAGACGCTTACATTGCTAACAGCACAAGAAAGACACCGACACCATGGTGTAGATACACAATGAACCAGCAGGGGCTGATTAGACCTGGAATTAGAATTAGCTGACCAGTCAAACCTTGACCATTTATAAAAAAAAAAAAAAAAAAAACACATACTGTTCACACACATTCGCCCTATATGAGTTATGATTATAATCGCTGGAGCAATTTATACAGTATACGACCCGGTTTCCCTTCTGCAATGCTGCAAAAATAAAACAAAATACTTTATATTCTATCATGATTTGTGATCAATTTTGCCTGTTGTCATTTCACTTATGGCATCAGGGCATCCAACAGTCAAAAAAACAATGCACTATGACCAACAATACAGCCATTTTGTAACCCCCAGCGATAAATCACAGTGAATGCCCCATTACACAGTGTATAACAGCTTTCTCATTCTGATTGCTGTCTCTAGGCCTATTCACCAATAAAACTATTAAAAGCATTTATGTTTTGTTCCTTGAACATGTGCAGTGAATGCTTTTTATACCCCAAATGGCCTTTAGTTTAAATGAATGAGTTTTATGTTTGGTTTTTCTATTTGTCATATTTAATACACACTGATACTACAGGAAAAGTAAAACACTAAACATCAAGAGGATATGGTATTGAAAAATATTTAAAATATATATACAGTTGAAGTCAGAATTATTAACCCCCCTGTTTATTTTTCCCCAATTTCTGTTTAATGGAGGGAAGATTTGTTCAACACATTTCTAAACAAAATAGTTTTAATAAATAATTTCTAATTACTGATTTATTTTTATCTTTGCCATGAGAACAGGATATAATATGTTACTAGATATTTTTTTCAAGACACTTCTATACAGCTTAAAGTGACATTTAAAGGCTTAACTAGGTTAATTAGGTTATTGAGGCAGGATAGGGTAATTAGGCAAGTTATTGTATAACGATGGCTTGTTCTGTAGACTATCAAGAAAAAATAGCTTAAAGGGGCTAATAATTTATACCTTAAAATGAATTTTAAATCATTAAAAACTGCTTTTATTCTAGCTGAATCCAGAAGACAAAATATTATTAGACATACTGTGAAAATCTCCTTGCCTTGTTAAACATAATTTGGGAAATATTTAAAAAAGAAAACTAAATTCAAAGAGGGGCCAATAATTCTGACTTCAACTGTACTTAAAAAAATATTAGAAACTCACCATAATCTCAATTAAATCTTCAAGTTTTTCTTTCTTCTTTGAAACACACATACACACAATTAAATAAATTCTCAAACTCTGTTTGTTCACATGTACATTATAAAAATAGATAATAGAAATTGTGAATAAAACAAATCTTTTTAAACGAAAATCGTTACGTTTTTCTACAATCCCAAATCAGAAAAAATTGAGACAGTATGGATGACGCAAGTAAATTTTTCTTTTTTTTTCCAAAAAAATATTTCTAAATTTACTTTCACTTGTATTTCATTGCAGATAATACAACAAACATTTTTTTTTAATGTTTTTCTCGTGGTTTTTATTTTTTAAATAAACACATATTCCAATTTTGGTTCTTGCAACACATTTAAAAAAGTTGGACCAATAAAACATTTGCCACTTTGTAATGTTGCCATTCCTTTTCACAACACTTAAAAGAGGTTTACGGACTGAAGACACCAAGTGATGAAGTGTTTCAGGTGTAATTGTGTCCCATTCTTCCTGCAAACAAGCCTTAAGATGGGCCAAAGTACAGTGTCTTCATTGTCGCGGTTTGTGCATCAAAATACACAACACATTCTCTATTGGAGACAGGTTGGGGCTAAAGGCAGGCTAGTGAAGTACCTGTATCATCTTCCTCCGCAGCCAGGAATTTGTAATGGTGCAGAATGTGGTTTTGCATTGTCTTATTGAAATACACATGGGCATCCCTGGAAACGAAGGCAGTATTGTACTCCAAAACCTCTGTGTACTTTTCGCCATTAATGGTGCCATCACAGAAGCGCAAGTTACCTTTGCCAAGTGCACAAACACAACCCCATACCATGACAGACCCTGGCTTCTGGACTTGTTGCTGGTAACAGTCTGATGATCCTTCTCTTCTTTGGTCTGGAGCACACAGTGTCCCTTTCACCCAAAAAAAATACCTGAAATACCAATTCATCTGACCACTGTACACATTTCCACTGTGTAAGGGTCCATCCCAGATGCCTCCAAGCCCAGAGAAATCAATGGCATGTCTGGACACTGTTAACATAGAGCTTCTTCTTGGCACAGTACAGTTTAACTGGCATTTGTGGATGCAATTACATACTGTAGTACTTAAAGGTTTGCCAAAGTAGTCCTGAGCCCATGTGGTGATATTGCTTATAGATGAATGACGATTATTGATTCAATGCCTCCCGAGGGATCGGAGATCACGGTAGTTTAACTTAGGCTTGCGCCCTTGTCCTTTACACACTGAAATTCCTCCAGATTTCTTTAATCTTTAATTATGTTATGCACTGTTGAAGGTGAAATATCCAAATGTCTTCCTATCTTTCTTTGAGGAACATTGTTTTTAAACATTTCAATCATTTTCTCATGGATTTGTTGGCAAACTGGCGATCCTCTGCACATCTTTGCTCCTAAAGAATTAGACCTTTCTTGGATGCTGCTTTTGGACCGAATCACAATTGAACTCACCTGTTGACATCACCTGTTTTAAATCACATCATTATTTAACCAATTTACCTGATAACTAGCCTTAAACTGCTTCTGTCCCAACTTTTTGTGGAATGTGTTTCAGGTCTGAATGACAGGAAAGGATGTATATTTACAAATTAAATGAAGTTGACCAGACAAAACAAGAGATATTTGGTGTTCATATTGTCTGCAATAAAATACAATTCAATAATTTGGAAATCACTACTTTCTTTATTTATTTGGGTTTTCCATACTGTTCTAACATTTTCTGATTTGGGGTCGAACTTCAAAATTTTTAAAATGGTTTACTAATTTTTACTCACAATCTTTTTCATTTTAATATAAAGTAAAGTAATTAAAATAATTTTAAAGGTTCTTTGTGGATTTATTTTAACATTTTTTTTATTATTTTTAAAGTGTATACTTAAAATGTAAAAAGTAAAATGAACAAACTCAAGAAGCACATTGTATAAAAACATTATGATGTTGCCTTTTTTCTTATTGAAGTATTTGTGTACTAACAACAAAACTCAGGCTTTTCTGTTTCATCTTTGATATATTATACATTAATGCTCATTAAATGTTAACATTTAGTTTACTCTTTATATATATATATATATATATATATATATATATATATATATATATAAACATTTTAACACATTTTATACAGAGCTTTTGAGTTCTAACAAAACAAGTTTTGCAACTCAAGTCAAGCCATCGTCGCCATTTACTTATTAAAGTCCAAATTTATTTGGCTTCCCACAAACAAGTCAGTGGAGCGTAAAAAACTCATACAAATTAATACTCCATGAATAAATGGGATTTTACTGCGCTCAAGCCGGTGTGCTTTTACCACACATTGTTACATTAAAGAGATTCTCTCCCCTAATTGAGCCTCACCGCAGAGCTATTTTTCTTCCTTATTGTCTTGTCTTTCCCTCCTCTGTTTATCACATCTAGCCCTTTCTTTCTTTCTCTTTCAACCCACCGTAATCCGCATGAAAGTGAGTGTAGGATTAGAGAGCCGGTCAGTCTAGACACTTTTCAGTCCTGTGTGCGCGACCGACGCCTCCAGCTGTGTTCCTCTCCTCCCACGAGTGTTTCACCTATGGGAAAAAAACATATTGTGTTATTCCACCTGCTGTGTTTAGCATGGATGTGGCGACTTGCACTGTTCACTTAAGTGGTAGAAGGGAGCAGATGAATTTAATAGCACATGAGGTCTGCAGGGTGATGAAATGGTTGATTTAGTTACAGATCTTATTAATGAAAGGCGGAGGAACATCCATGTCAAGAGGTGCAGAAAATTACGGCGATATTGGATGAATCATGCCCTTAATTTCACGAGGAGGGCAAAGAACTTATAAAACCCAGTTCATCTCATATATAGAGATACTTTCATTTTGTCACTTGATTCGTGGTGTGGATTATATTATTCTGTCAATTCCCTACTGTGCCCTCCTTGTTATTTATTTATGGCTGGACATTTGTCAACAGAATCCTTGAAATGAAGTTATCTTCACACCCACAAAAAAAGAGCAAGGAACTAATCTGTTGTATCACTTTGTGTGTGTGTAGGGGTGTGCAGTATTAGTTATGCTCTAATTATGCCTTGGGTATGCATGTATTGGGTCTATAAATATGATTGACAATGATTAAATCTAAGTGCATATTACTTGTAGCACATTATTATAAACTTTTAGTTAAGCTAATTTATTTATTTATATATAAATAAATAGCTAGTTCTCTCCAACTCTCACATGGTCACCCACTGAAGCTAAGCAGGGCTGCGCCTGGTCAGTACCTGGATGAGAGGCCACATGGGTAAGTTAGGTTGCTACCGGAAATCGTGTTAGTGAGGCCAGCAGGGGGCACTCAATCTGTGATCTCTGTGGGTCCTAACGCCCCAGTATAGTGAAGGGGACACTATAATGTCAGTGAGCCCTGTCTTTCGGATGAGACCGAGGTCCTGACTCTCTTTGGTCGTTTGAAATCCAGGATGTTCTTCGAAAAACAGTAGGGGTTTAACCTCAGCATTCTAGCCAAAATTTTGCCCTCTGGCCTCTGTCCATCATGGCCTCCTAAACATCCCCTATCATAATTGGCTTCATCACTTTGTCTCCCCTCCATCAATCAGCTGGTGTGGGGTGTGTGGTCTGGCGCAATATGGCTGCCGTCATGTCATCCAGGTGGATGGTGCACACTGGTGGTGGATGAGGAGATTCCCCCCAATGTGTAAAGCGCTTTGAGTGTCTAGAAAAGCGCCATATTAATGTAAGGAATAATAATAATTATTATTTTAATATTTATTGAATTAGAGACAGTGCTCATTAATCAACAGTCAAAACTGTATATAAGCCAGAGTCAGCCCTTTTTATGGTTTCCTGTTTAAAAAAATGGAGCTTTCTGTGTTGTTTCCCTGGCTCTTTGAATGCGCTGGTGACCGTTTTCTGTAAACCAATAGCATTCACCAGAGGTACCAAAAATTTGAGTGCCAAAAAATTTAATACAATACGGTTTTATATTTTTACTTCTTACAATGAAAATGGAAAGAAATGCATTACATACCTTACTGTACTGTAGTGGTTCTCAAAGTGTGTGTTGTGGGACAATGATGCGGGGTCAGTTGGTGATTTAATTTATATATATATATATATATATATATATATATATATATATATATATATATATATATATATATATATATATATATATATATATATATCAGAGGTGGGACCAAGTCATTGTTTGGCAAGTCACAAGTAAGTCTCAATTCATTGCCCTCAAGTCCCGAGTCAAGTCCCGAGTCAAGACAGGCAAGTCCCGAGTCAAGTCCCGAGTCAAAGGCAACAAGTCTCAAGTCAAGTCCAAAGTCCTGCAGTTTGATTTTCGAGTCTTTTCGAGTCTTTTTAACAGAAAAATAAAATATATACAGATTAGGTATGGTTGTAAGATCTGTATTAATTAAACAAACCTTTTTTTATTAAAGAACATTGCTTAGATATATAAAAATACAAATGCAATTTTCTGAAAAAGTGCTAAACAGTGCTGCGTCTCGTCTCCACAGCATAATGCACAAGAACGAGTTCCACCAAAAAAAGACTCCATTTTGCCTCACATCACACAGAAATTGCAGGTCTACTGCTGTCTAATTCATTAAGTTTAGTTGTGCTATGTTATGTCTTCGGTGATCAACTTGTGATTAACCAAAATTACATAACCTCAATGTGGTAGCAGTAGACCAACTCCTGTATATGCTGCAAAGTTAAATTGAGTGAAATTGGAATTTTGTCAATTGAATCTCGTGTGTGCTAAAGAGATGGAGTTGCAAATCTGTCTAGCAGCAATGTAAAATGGTAGCACATATTGTTAATGAAGTAGGCTACTTCATACAAACAATAAAGTTGTTTTCTTCACATAACGTTGAAGAGCTTTGCTCTCTACCTTGTGTGATGCTCGTGCACGGATTTCCTCTGTTTGTGGACAAAACTGATTGCGAGTTCTCAAATTTTCTCTCGCTCTCAAATATGCACTGCTCACACACAAATTTTCTTGAGCGCTCTCAGAGATTATATGCAAACTCACAATTTGTGTCGTGTTCCCTCTTCCTTTCATGCTTTTTGATATGATTCATATTGCTGCACTGTTTAATAACAATAACCAAAATACTAAAATAGACTTATATATTAAATGTTTAATCTAATAAACCATAACATTTTTGGTTGTTTTATATTATTAGATATTTTCAGTTTCAAACACTTAAAGACAGAGAATAGACCAGTGGTGCCCCCCTGAAAATTTGCTTAAGGGGGGCCAGAAGAGGCCAGCTACGTCAGTGGCACCAATCAATCCACAATAATTTAGTGGCTGCTATTTATTTATTGAAATATTGCATTGTATTGCATTTATGTAAGTAGATTTAAATAAATAATGTCAACAGCAAAATCATATCGGGTTGGCCACAGGGGTGGCTAGAGTTTACACAGGGGTAACACCCCTTGTAAAGGGGTTTACACCACTATAAGGCACCTCTGGAATAGATGTTGGATGTAAAGAATACATTTTATTTTAAAAGCATTTAAACAAAAACTAATGCAAGCAGAAATGTAACTGTGATAAAAATAAGGAAACACTTGATAAGGTATTATAGCCTACTGTACTATTCACTCTTCAAATAAATCTCACTATCAATCTCATTTTATTATGGCAGCTAAAATAAAGTAAACTAGTGTCTGCTGGCTTCCACTTTACTGATGAGATTGTGGAGGACATTTTCCATGTCATCCTCTTCATTTTGAGGAAAGCTGTGCCACGGGGCCCCTGAACACGTATATTGGCATGTACTGTGTTTTGAACAGTAGCCTACTACAGTAAAGAACTTCAATTGATCAGTTGTGGTAATACTATAGTTGCTATGGTAACACAAGTGTAATATAAACAAATTACCCAGTGCTGTATTATTTTACAATATAGGGTATTTTATACTACAAATCACTACACTTTACTGTAGTTAAAACTACACTTTGTATTATTTTATCTGTTCACTATTGGTAATACTACTGTATTATGAAGCATTAATTAACAAGTCGTAAATAATACTAGCCTAAAACATAAGTATAATACAAGTATACAACAAGTATAATACTCAAAAACACTAGAATTTATTAAAGAATTTACCTTAACCTTTTAGTTTTTTGTGTATTGTTAATAAATAGTAAAGCAAGAAAGAAACCATATCAACATTCTTGGAATAACCCTTCGCTACGCCTCGCCCTCCTTAGTTACTGTTGCTACGCCTGTCAAGCTTTCATGCCTGGCACATCTATTACAGTGTGTATGCGCTGGTGTCAGACATTCCCAAGGATTTAATTAGTCATTTTTGGCAAACAGGTGAGATATCTGAGAAAGCCAGACAAAAGAGGACTGCAGTATACATTACAGGGGTATATTCACAACATAATAGCAACTGATTAGAAATTAATTTTATCAAAATTGAAGCAAGGTTAGCCTAGCCACCTCATACGCTGAACATTCAACAGCATAGTTCACGCACAGCAGGAGAGGTGAAATTATAAAATAATCTAATAACCTAAGAAACTGATGGATTTGTGCCGAATATTAGCATCATTGACCCATAACAGTGTACAGTACCTATTACTGTCAGCATGTTTGTGTGCTCTTTATCCAGTTTTTATTCAAATTTGCAGTTAAGTGGAAGAAAAAAATTGAAATGCACATTAAAGTATAAATAACAGAAGTGAACAAATAGATTTTTCCTACCAGCAAATATTAGTGTATGTATTTATATGCGTTACAATAGCGAGGGTTTAAACTAAGCAGTGCTCACAGGGTTCAACGCTAAGGATTTTTTCTACTGGCCCGATCGGGCCAGTGGTTCTGATTTTTACTTGCCCAGCCCAAATTTTCACTGGCCCCACCAAAAAAAAAAAAGAAGTTAATCGCTATTTGAATGTGCGTGTGTGTGTGTATACACACACACACACACACACACACAGTTGATTTCAGAATTATTAGTCCCCCTAAATTATTAGCACCCCTGTTTATTTTTTTCCCCAATTTCTATTTAACAGAGAACAGATTTTCTCAGCACATTTCTAAACATAATAGTTTTAATAACTCATCTCCAATAACTGATTTATTTTATCTTTGTCATGATGACTGTAAATAATATTTTACTAGATATTCTTCAAGACACTTCTATACAGCTTAAAGTGACATTTAAAGGCTTAACTAGGGTAATTAGGTTAACTAGGCAGGTTAGGGTAATTAGGCTAGTTATTGTATAATGATGGTTTGTTCTGTAGACAGTCTGAAAAACAATTAGCTTAAGAGGCTAATAAATTTTACCTTAAAATGGTTAAAAAAATGTTTTTATTCTAGCCAAAATAAAACAAATAAGATTTTGTTCAGAGGAAAAAATATTATCAGACAAAATATCAACATTTCTTTGCTTTGTTAAACATCATTTAGGAAATATTTTAAAAAGAAAAAACAAAAAACAAAAGGGGGCTAATAAATCTGTATATATATTTACGGTAATTTTTAAAATGTTTAAGGAAAACTATTCAGTTCATCAAGGCTATAT